CCCCCCCCCTCGTCTTAGGCCTGGCGGGACTTGAGGCCCGAATGCAAATCCTGCCCCCTCTCTCTCCCCCTGCCAGTCATCAACGAGCTGGACGGGCTGGCCAAGGGCCCCGAGTCCGAGCACCGGGCCGGGGGCTACAGCCGCCTGCTGCAGGACCGGGCCCGCAAGGCGGTGGACTTCCTGGAGTCCTGCTTCGAGAGGCGCGACAGCTACATCCGGGCCCTGACCAGCCGGGGCAACGAGCTGGAGTCCGTCTCCTTCCGCAGCGAGGACATTTCCCGGCAGCAGGTACCCGGCCGGGGGGGGGCGGGGGGGGCTGAGGGCCCCCCCCCCCCCCCCCCCCCCACCCCCCCCCACACAAACGCCTGCCTTGAGTCGCAGGACGCCCGGAGTGAAAGGGGGGCCGCGGGGGGGGGAGCTTGCTCTGGGCGCAGGCACTCCGGGCTGAACCCCCAGGCAGCCCTCCATTGACATGATGACAGGGACTTCTGTCCACGTCTCATACTTACGACCATTCCATTGTCCCCATTATCACCTGATCAAAATTTGGAGGCTTGGCCACTGGCCTGTATTTACGAAGGTCGCAGTGACCCTTCCGATGAGCCGAGTCCACGGGGAGGGCCGTTCCACTTAATGACCAGGTTACTCACTGAAGAAGTGGTTAGAGTGCCGTATTGCAGGCTGAATCTGCCCACCGCCAGCAGTTCAATCTTGACCGGCTGCAGGTGGACTCAGCCTTCCATCCTTCCAAAGTCCGTAAAATGAGGACCCGGATTGTTGGGGGACCAAGAGGCCAGCTCGGGGGGGGGGTTGCAGAGCCCTGTGAAGCGGCCTATAAGCCTTGGGGGCTCTTGTTGTTAACAGCTGTCTTGCTTAGTGTCAGAAATCCAGGGCTTGATTGTGGTCATAAGTCAAGGACTCGGAAGGCAGGGGAAGGATCACATGTGCAGACAGCACCAAAGATGGAGGCTAACCGGCCCCTTGGAGATTCGGGGGGGGGGGGGTTATTTTGGTGGCAGAGAGAGAGAAGCACAGCGAATGGGGGGGATCCTCCCCCTGCAGAAAAGCCAATGGGGGGGGCGTCTCCCTCCCGGAAGGAGCCCAGGGCATCCCCGGCTGCAGAGGCTCCTCCCCCTGAGGGGCTCAGGACCCGCCCGGAACGGGGGAGCCTCGTCCTGGGAATCCCCCGCAGAAATGGGAGGAGGACCCCCCAGAGGGAGGCGTGGGGAAGGGAGGGGGCAGGAGAAGGCCAGGAGGGGCCCCGGAGCAGAATTCTCCCAAACGGAGCACAAGACCAGGACTGCCCAAGAGGTGCCCCCCCCCGGGAGAGTTTTGGCCCCACCTGGCACTTCCCGTCTCCCGCGGGGTTCACCCTTGCCCTGGGAGAAGGACGGGGGGGGCAGTCGAAGGAGGGCTGGGCAGCCTTTCCCCCTGGGGGGCAGCTTCGGCCTTTGAGGCCGCCTCCCTCCAGCGGGCCGGTCCCAGGCCGCCTCCACCTGCGGACACAGGGCTCAGCCTCTCCCCCTCTCCTCCTCCCCCCCAGGGAAACAACGATGACCTGATCCTCTCCTGCTGCCTCCACTACTGCAACGACCGGGCCAAGGACTTCATGCCAGCCAAGAAAGGTGAGGGGCCAGGAAGGGCATGCAGACGGGCCCACTTTGGGGGGAGGGAAACATTGGGAAGGGGGAGCCAGTGCGAGCGGGGAGCGGGCCTGGGTGCCCCGACATCCTCCGTTGCCCGGCCCTTCCCCGGGAGCATGCGGGGGTCCCTCCTGCCGCCTGCCGGCTGCTCCGGAGCCCTTTCCAGGGGGGCAGCGGGGGCCGCAGCTGCTCAGCCTGGCCCCAGGCCCGTCGTCGGGCCAAATCCTGCGCAGCTTAACTTGTCAGCTTGACGGAGAAGGCGTTCTGCAGTGTTTACGCCTGGCTGGGACGGGATCGGGGATCAGGGGATTATGGCGGATGGGGCCTGACAACCTGACAGCCTCTGGTTTCTAACAACCCGCCTCCCTCCCGGCTGGCCCAGGGGACGCCGACGGCTGAGCCCCCGGGAGGGGGGGGGGGGGGGGGGGATCCTGGCCCAGGCCGGGTGAGGCCCCGCTGACCGCTCCTCCTTTGCAGAGGACCCCATCCGCCTGCTCCGGGAGGTGGTGCTACTGACGGACGACCGGAACCTGCGGGTGAAGGCCTTGACGCGCAACGTGCCCGTGAGGGACATCCCCACCTTCCTGCGGTGGGCCCAGGAGGGCTGAGCCTCGGGACGCCCCCCGCCCCGGGAAGCCGTGCGTTTCGTTGCCAGCAGGGAGGGTGGCCTCAGGGCGTGCCCCGTGCCAGGGCTGTCGTGCTGCCGACCCCCCCCCATCGCCCTCCCAGGAGACACCCAGCACAATAAACGCAGCCTCTTCAACTCCACCTGGAATGGCCATGCTGTGGGGGAGGCGAGGGGGGGCGGTGGGGGGGCCCTCGAATGACCCCTGGCTCAGGTGAAGCAGCCCCAGCCAGGCGGGGTCCCTGTGGGGCAGGTGAGGAAGGGCAGCCCCCACCCCCCACCCAGGGTCTGTCTCAGGTTTTCAGCCCCTCCCCCATCCTTGCCCCCCTCTGGTCCCCCTCCCTCTGTGCCACGGACTGAACCGGGCCGGCCCAGCACCCCCGCCGAGGGCCCCCCGGAGGTTGTGGGGGGAAGGTGCCCTGGAGCAGAGCCAAGGGGCCCGGGATCCAGCGGGAGGGTTGGGGCCCCCTGGGGCTCCGAAAGTGCTTGCGTAGGCCGGGAGAGCTCCTCCCCCACCCAGAGCCCTTCCCCATGGGAAGATTTTCCTGCCCTTGGGGGGGGGCAGCGGAGTGCCCCCGTGGGGCCGTGGGGGGTGGGCTGGATTGCTGTGGGGCGGAGGAGCCCAACTGCCCCCCCTTGGGAGGGGACTGCCCGCAGTGGGCAAGGAGTGCGTGCCCCTCCCTGGGCTCGAAGGGGGGGGTCTCTTCCTTCCGCGCCCCCGCCCCCCCCCATGCAGCTTCTGCCTCGGCCTGAGTGGCCTGGTGGACGGAGGGCCTTTGCCCCACTTGGGTTCCGTTGTTTTCTTAATAAAGTTTTGGTAGAAATCTTACTCTCGGCTGCTTCTTTTGGGGCTGGGAGGGAGGGGGGGCCACCAGAGCGGAAGGGGGGGAGGGAATTCCAGGGGACCCTTTGAGGGGGACAAGAGCCCCTCTGCAGCCAGCGCCCCCCCCCCCCCCCGGATGCCCTAAGTTGTCCTAGGCTGTGTTTGGACCGTTCACCCAACCTGGAGAACCAGGAAACGCAATGGAGCAGCCCCCCGTTTCTGGGGCACCCCCAGCCTGCAGAGAGCCCCAGCCAAGCCGGTCAAGGAAGCCCTTGGGAGGTTGCCCTGGCCTGGGCAGCCGTGGTGCTCAGGGCCTGCGCCGCCTGCAGGGAGCAAACGGACATGCCACACGCATCCAAGGGGACCCTGGACGGAAGAGCCGCTTGGCCGTTTGTTGCAGGGGGCCGAGGCTGGGCTCTCCAGCCACCCAGGGAAGGCCACGGGGGCGGGGGGGATTTCCTCTGAGCAGCCGAGCCAGCATGAGGGTCCGTGGGGAGAGTTGACCCCTTCCCATTTCCTGTGTCACCTGCGCTGCCCCCCCCCGCCCTTTCTGGGATTTAAAGGGGCCCCCCCCCCCCGCTTTGCATCCGGCTTCACTTCTGTCAGCCCCCCTCCATGCAAAAGGAAGGGGGTCGCAGGGCCAGTGACCCCTTCTTTCCTGAGGCCCCCGTTTCTGGGCCTTCTCCATTCTGCAGTAGCACCCCGAAATTCAGGCTCCCCCACCCCCCTCCCCACCCCCACCCCCGAATGAAGCAGAGGCCTGGATGGTGGCAGCAGTGTTAGAAAAAACTTTATTGCTTTGGTTTGTTCTGGAAGCTTAAATGTTATTCGGTTTTGGTCTCGCATACAAAAAAACGGGGGGGGGGAGCCACATCCCTCCCCCAGGGCCACAGAAGGCGGGGAGGCTGCCCCTCGGGGGCTTAGCTTCCTCGGGGTGGGGTCCCCCCTCCTGGGGAGGGACTCCCGCTGGGTCCTCTCAGGGCTGGGGGGAGAGGCAGCTGGCTCAGATGAAGGAAGACACAGGCCAAGGGGGGGGGGGGGGGGGGGGGGGCAGGGGGGGGGGGGCGGGGCGCGGGCGGGCGCGCGGGGGGGGGGGGGGGGGGAAGAGGGACGCCCTCTCCTTTTCACATTGCAATACAAGGTTGAGGAAACCCACCCCCACCCCCTACCCCTCCCAAGCCCGGACCAGCAGTCTTCAACCAGCTGCTCCAGACCTTCCCTCCCAGCGGCAAGGACCATCCAAGCGGGCCGACTGGGGGCTGGATCCGATGTCGGGGGTCTGCACCGTCTCCCCCACACGCACACACACCTCCTGGGGGCTTGAGGCCGGGCAGGGCTCTTCTGCCATCGGACAGGCGTATCGATGGGCGCCGTTTGGGGGCTCCCCTGCCTCTGCCTCTCTGGGGGCGGAGGGCAAATGCGGGGGGTGCGCGAGGCTCCCTCCGGCCCAGAAAGGCAGGAGAGGCCACAAAGTCGACCCCACCCTCGAAGCTTCGCCCCGGAATTCCCCAGGGGTGTCTTGTGGTGGCGAGTATTTTCTGCCTCCGGAGCGGGGAGGGGACCCCTGTTCAGGAGGCGTTTTGTGAGGGTCCCGGCCTGACACACCTCTCCATCCCTCCCCGAGGCTGAAGAGGGGGGGCTGCGATTCAGACCCCCCCCCAGTAGGCTGCAAGTTCCGAACCCCACCTAGGCAACCTGACAGCCGAAGTGGGGCGGGGGTGGGGCAGGCTTGTCCCTCGCCAGCTACCTCCGCTGCTAGGCCCTCTCCAGGCTGGGGCGAGAGGAGGCAGCTGGCTCAGTCCGGACTGCCCTGTCCCTACAAACTGAGGCTCTTGAACCCGGATCTCTGCTCCCGCCGAGCCCCTTGGGCGGCCATTTGAGGTAGGGGCGAGCTGGCTAGGCCGGGCCGGCGGGAGGGCCCGGGGCAGCCGCAAGAGGTGTGAAGGGCAGCGCGAAAGCTCAGCGGAGGAGCCGGGCGCTCGGGGGCCGGGGGCCAGTCGCTCCCCCGGTCCACAAGGGCGCCTCCCGGGCCCGGGGCGAGGCGCGTCAGGGGGGCGAGAAGCGGCCAATGGTCCGAGCGTGGTGGTCGTTGTGCAGGTGGTGCGTGGCGGCCACCACGGCGCCCTGGGCCAAGACCTCGGCCGTTTTGTCGGGGCTGAGCCCCAGGTAGAGGCTCTCCAGGGCGGCCTTGGGGTCGCCGGCGGCGGCGGCGGCAGCGGCGGCGGCGGCCAAGAAGTGCGAGGTGTGCTGGAAGAGCTCCTTGTCCGCCGGCGGCGGCTGCGCCAACCGCGCCATGGCCAGCACCCCCTCGGGGAAGTCCAGCTTCAGCTTCCCGTCGGGGCCGGCGGCGGCGGCGGCTGCGGCGGCGGCGGCGGCGTGCATCTTCATGTGGCTGAGCAGGTTGCGCTGCTGGGCGAATTTCCCGCCGCACACCTGGCACTCGTAGGGCTTCTCGCCCGAGTGGATGCGCATGTGCTCCGTCAGGCGGTACTGGCGGGTGAAGCGCATCCCGCAGGCGTCGCAGGCGAAGGGCTTCAGGCCCAGGTGGCTGCGCATGTGGCGGGTCATGGTGCCGCGCTGCGTGAACTTCTTCCCGCAGATGGAGCACGGGTAGGGCCGCGTCAGCCAGTGCGTCTTCTCGTGCTGGCGCAGCGTGGCCGGGTCCTTGTAGGCCTTGTCGCAGGAGGCGCAGCGGTAGGGGCGCAGCAGGTCGCAGCCGGGCGGGCCCCCCGCGGGCGGCGGGGGCGGCGGGGCGGCGGGCAGAGGGGGGGGCGCCTTGTCCAGGTAGGGCGAGCCTTGGACGGCCGCCCCCGCCGCCTCGGCCGCCGCCTCCTTGCGGTAGAGCTCGTCCTCCTCGTTGTGGGCCTCCACGTGCGCGTTCAGCTGCTCGGAGGACGGGAAGCCCTTCCCGCAGGGGATGCACACGTAGAGGTTGTCGCCCCCGAAGCTCTCGGGCTCGTAGCCCAGGTAGCGCTCCAGGCTGCCCCCCGCGGGAGAAGGGCCGCCGCTGCTGCAGCCCGTTTCCTCGCTGGTGCTCTTGTCGGGCTCCAGGTCCTCCGCCTCCCCGTCGGGCTCCGCGCTCTCCAAGTAGTGGCGCGGGGCCGGCTGCGGCGGCCCGGGCGGCGACGAGGCCTGAGGCTCCAGTTCTCGCTCGCCGCCGCCGCCGCCGCTGCCCAGCTCCCGTCGGGCGCCGCCAAAATCGCCCTCCTCCTCCTCCTCCTCCTCTTCCTCCTCCTCCAGGACGTAACCGGCCACCAGCGGCTCGTGCTTCATCCAGCGGTACAGGAATTCGGGCGCCATTTCGACGCGAGCGCTCGGCTCAGTCCCGGGGCTGCTGTCGCCACTGCCGCGGTGATGCAGGTGGGGGAAGGCGGCCTGGAGAGGGGCCGTGGAGCCCGGGTCCCCGAAGGGCTCGTGGGGAGGCAGCAAGGCCGGGCTCCCGGGCCGGGGCGGCAGGACGCCCTCGCGGCTCTCCACCGCGGCTCGAAGGCGGCTCTCGGACGGGGGCTGCGGGGGCAGCTGTGGGGAGGGTCCGTTCGGGCTCTTCTTGGAGAGGTCCAGGCCGCAGAGCGAGGGGCACAGCACGTGTGGGTGGGCGGCGGCGGCGGCGGCGTACAGTTCCCCGCAGTGGGTGCTGAGCGGATTGCTCGGCTCCACCGGCCGCGGCGGAGCCCCGAAGCAACTCTGGATAACCGGCGTGGCTGCGCGGAGGCCCCTGGCCAGCTTTCCGAAGGGCGCGGAGGCCGAATAGCTCCCGCCGCCGCCGCCGCCGCCGCCACGCAGCTGGTAGTATTTGCCGGAGCGCTTCAGCTTCCTCTTGCACAGAGCCACCAGGTCCGGGATCTGCAGGTAGCTGGCGGCGGCCAGGATGGCCCCCAAGGCGGGCTCGGCGTTTGCGCCGCCAGCCGGCTCAGCCTCGCCCTCGGCGCCGGGGCCCAGGCGGCCGGTGTAGATGAAGTCCAGGACGGCGCGGAAGACGGACGGGCTGACCATCTCCTGGTCCAGGTTGATGAGGTTGTCGTGCACCACCAGGGCCTTGAGGTAGGCGCTGCTGGCCGCCAGCACGTTCTTGTGCGCGCGGAAGAGCGCGTTCTGCACCACCAGGATCACGTCGCAAAGGAAGCCCTTGGTGCGCTGCGCGTTGAGCTGGAGCAGCAGCTGCCGGGAGTGGCCCGTCGCCTCCGAGGCATCCAACATCGCTGCGCCTGCGGGGGTGGAGGAGAGAGAGCACAGCGGGCCTTAGCTGGACTGGCCGCGCTGGCCCGCCACGCGGAGGCCCGGGAAGCGGGCGCCTCTCCTACTCGCCTCCGCCTGCTCTTGCCCGCCGGCTCCCCTTATAGAGGGGCTTTCCTTCTTAGGCGGAGGAGGGAGGAGGCGGAGGAGGGGGCTCGGTCCCGGTGGGTCCCGGATCACAGCCTCGCACGCCCTCCTCCGGGTGGGGCTTCACACCTGACGGGGCAGCCTCGGAACAATTTCCTCGCATCGCCTCCCCCGCCCCCCTCCGCCAGAGATCTACGGGCGCGGACCCCCTGCGCTTCCGAGCCGCTTCCCTGCCCGTCGCCCTCCGGAGGCCAGGAAAGCCAGGCCGCCGTTAGCCTCCCGGGCCTTGATCTTACCGCGAGGGGCCGGATTTGGGGAGGGGGGAGGCGGTTTCAGGGCTGCAGGCCTGAACCGAGAAGAACGGGCCAGCCGCGGCTCGTCCTGCTTAGGGAACCGCCCTGCGGCCCGAGCCGGCGGCTGGGCGACCCATTGCGTTCACCCCGGCGGCCGTTCTTCTCCAGAGCCCCCGCCCCGGTCCCTGCTCCGGCACGCCTAACCGACTCGTCTCCGACTTGCTCCTGCTGGCCCGCATCCCTGTCCAGCGGAGGGATCCCCGGGTAAGGGCGGCTGGGCTGGCGGGAGAAGGCCGCCCAAAGCCGCCCAGAAATCTGGCAGGAGCAGCCCCGCCGCCGCCGCCGCCTGTCAAAAGCTTCGCGGGCCGGGCAGTGGGGGCTGAAGGACTCGGGTGTCGGCGCTGCTGCCGCCTCGGCCGGGCGAGGACGCCAAAGGCAGGGCGGGCGGATGAAGGAGGCACGGCCGCATCAGGCCCTTCCCCGAGCAAAAGGGCGCCGGGCTCCAGCGGGGCTCGGGCCAAGCGGGGAAGCCGGAGAGGGTCCCGCCGCGACAGCCACTTCCCCAAAAGGAGCCGCCGCTCGGGGACTGGCCGAAGCCTCGGGCTGAGCGGCTCCTTTCCTTCGGCTGACTCCGGGACCGCCCCGAGAAGCCCGGCCGGCCGGCTGCTTCCTGCCCGCCCGAGCCAGCTTGGGGAGCGGGCGAGAAGCGCGATGTCTGCAGGCTCCGGGCTCTGCCCGCCCGCCCCGGTCCCGGCTTACCTGGAAGCCCCGTCGGATCGGCCAGGCAGGCGAGGTCCGCGTGGACACGCATGGCTCTCCCCGGCTGCCACGGCGGCGGCGGCGGCGGCGGCGGCGGCTCCTCTGTGCCCCTCGCAGCGCCTCAGGCCGCTTGCTGGAGGCTGCGCCGGCTGGTCCCCATGTGCCGGGAGCGCCGCGGCGGCGGAAAAGGTAAAGGCCGGGCCGCGAACTCCGCCTGACCCCGGGCTGAACTCGGGCGTGTTAAAGGAGCCGCCGCGGCTTCCTCCGCCTCCCAGCCAGCCAGCCAGCGAGCGCCGAGCTAGCAGTCGAGCGGGCGGGCGGGCAGCGGGGCTGGAAGTGAGCGGCTGGAGGAGGAGCCACCGGCGGGGTCCCGGAGGAGCAGCCCCGGGGAGGAGACCGCGCCGCGACCCCCTCCCGGCGAAGGGGGCAGGCAGGGGAAGGCTGGGCCCCCGAGCGCAGGGCGGGGCCAGCGCGGCGCGCCCATCGGAGCAGGACCGGCCGCGCTCTGCCGGGAGCCCAGACCGCCCCGTCCAGGGCACCGGCGCGCGGGAGCGTCGGCCGGGACGGCGCCGGAGGGAGCCGGGGGCGCTCGGCGACCAGGTGGGTCTCCGGGACCGGACGGGGCGGTCGGAGAGGGCGAAACTGGCGCTGGGCGGTCTGCTTTTCCCTCCGGCCGAGCTTCCTCTGCCAGGGCTTTCCCTTCGGGCCCCGGTGGTCTTGACTCGTCCCGCGGCCTCCGTCCAAGAAATTCGCTCCCCGCCCACCCCCAGGGACCCCCCAATTCCTGCCCGTGCGGCGACCCCTGGCGGCCGCGACGTGGCTCGGCGGCTCGGCCGGAAAATCTTGCTCCGGGACGCTTCGGAGGCCCCGCTGCAGCGCTCAGGCTCCGTGGCGGGCAGGTCGGGAGCGGGGGGGGGGGAATAAAAGAGGGGGGAGGCATAATCCCTCCACCCCAAATATGATGGTCTTGATTCGGGACTGTTTCCCCGTGGTCGGGCCGGGCGATTCCGACGTTCCCGGCCTTATCCGTGTCGGCGGAGAGAGCGCAGCGCAGGCTCGGAGCAGCTAAGGGCCTTGGTGGCTCCCGAGTCGCGCCCCGGACCCACCTGGGCAAACTGCGGGAGCCCTCCGCCGCCCCCGGACCCTGGCCGAGGCAGGGCAGCTTCGTCTGACAGGCTCAAGGGGCTTCAGGCACGGCCAGGGGGACACAGTCCGCCCAAAATGCCCCGCCGGGCCATCCTGTCTCCCCCCACCCCCCCGGACGGTTTCAAAGACGAAGTGGGGGGGCGGACGGAAAGGTGAAAACGGCTCTCGCCCGGCCTTTGTCCCACTTTAAGGGCCTCTTTCCAGACAGTTTACCTCTCTGTCCGCGCAGGCGAGGAACGCAAATTTCTGTTCGGGCCGAAAAATGTAAAACGGGAGGGGGGGGGCAGGGGCTGCGGGGGCTCCTTCCAGTCCAAAGGCCTCACCCATGTCTGTAGGAAACCCCCCCGCCACTTCTCTGGGCCAAAGTCCCCGGGGAAGGAGAAAGGGCCCCTCTCGTTTTGAGGCCCAAAATATCCCAGCAGGGCCAGGAACGCGGGCGAAGCGCCCCTCGCTTTCACGCCTTTGCGGGAACATCAGAAAGGAAAGAAAGAAAGAAAAAGAGACACTTTGGGGCGAGATGATGAAGAAGCCGATTAACAAGGGGGGGGGGGGGGGGGTTTCTCGGGGGGGAAGAGGGGGGGGGGCGGGGGGGGGGGGGGGGGGGGCTTGCAGCCTGGATCTCGGGGTCGCG